GAGCGAACGTGTATTATAGCCATTATAGGTATAGTGGAAACCTATACTTTTAAAGCCTTAAATATAACTTCATATTGCTCCGTGTTCCGTGATTTTCAGAAAAACAATTAGAACAAATACAATTTACTTCACCCTCGCATATTGAATTTTTTATCAAAACTTAAGTAACTCGATGAATTAAGAACGATGGTGCAATCAAAAATTTGTCGTTCAAACTTAGTTTTGAAGTTATGGCCTTTGGAAGTAAGAATTTTCGCGTTTTTACGCATAGCAAATACACTATAATTTGCCACGCTTTTCATACATTTTTAAAATTATGATTTTTGAAATACGCAAAAGGAGCAAGTTAGGGTAACCTAGTTCCTCCCCACGCCCACTGGTTCGGGTCGCCAGACTCGATGACGGCTAATTAAAGTGACATAAGTATATAGTGGATCCCTTCGCCTATATGGGTGCGTTACAAATTGCGTATGGACCTTTTTCATTATTACGATCGCGTACATTCTACCTACCATGTTCAAAATCGTGAAAATTTGTAATACCTATAACTTTTTTTAGGAAACGACTGCTTATATTTGATACAATTTCATAAACGTTACTGAGACTATTATTTCCAGGCTATGTATTAATATTAAATAATTATATACAACCAGATTGTATATTTCCAACTAATATATATTATATGGGCTGGAGAACCTTCAATAAATAAAAGGTATCATATTTTTATAAATTATAAGAAAAATTTGGAATTATTCTTGTACAATATAACTTTAAAGTTTATGTTCTGATACATAAAAATAAAGTGTCATAAAATATTTAGATTATTATTAATTCCGTAATTTTTACGTATTTTAATTTCAGAACAACAAATGGTCCAGAGAGTTTCCAGTGTTTCCACAGAACTTTTAACGCTCAATTCTATAACTCACATCCACCAATATACTCTTTGTGCTTGAGGCATTGAAAGAAATGCAGGCTGAAACCAATATAAAAATATCCACTATACAAAAAAATATATCCAAAGCTATTTCATCTTCCATCTAAAGTTATGCAAAAAATTAACCATGTAATAAAACTATACGACCAATTTAAAATAATAGATATAATATATTAAATTTTTTAACAGGGACTGGTTATCGATACCAAGGTTTTAATTTATAACTTATAATTTGTATTTTGTATAATTTAAGTTTTTAATTGACTATAAAAATGGTTTTTTAAATTATATTATTATTATTATTATTATTTTAAATTAAATTAATTTTTTTTATCAGGAACTGGTAACCAACGTTTTAATTTATAGCGTATGTGTATTATTATTATATTTTATATACCTAAATATTTTATTTTGTTTTTAATTGATTATAATATTATAATAATGATTTTTTAAAATATATTATTTTTATTTTTAATTTAATTTAATTTAATAGTACATGTTGGCAACGTTGCACTCATTTTCGTACGCAATCGTAATGTTTTTGATGTCTAGGTAGAGAAATCGTACGCAATCGTATATCACCGTCGCCTATCGGCTCCGGACCCCACACAGCAAAATTATAATTTAAAATATAATTTAGGAAATATGTATTACGTTTTCAAAATGTTGTTAAATGATCATAATATTTTTTGAAAATATTTTGGAAATGTTTTTTGTCGCCTAATTAGCATCATCATCAAAATATAACAACTAGGATATTTTGAAGATATCATATTTATATTTTTAAATTATGTATAGATTTATTTTGAAAATATTTTCACTTAACTATTTTAAAAATATAAAATGTTGGTTCTACATTTTTTTCCAATTTTATTACAAATTAAATGTTTTAGTTGTAGATAATATATTATATAATAATATAGTATATATATTTTAATAAATAATATAATATGAATAAGAAAACCAGAATGCATATTTTGACGTTGTATAACTCACAACACACAATATAGGTATGTTATGCCAGTCCTAATAATATTATCTACTGATTTAATACAGGACACTTATAAAACATCATCTCGAGATACTATTTATACCTAGTGTTAGTGATCGGGGAACTCTAAAATAGCCAACCTGGAAGAATGTAAAGGGGTCGTGGGGATACCTGACATTCGGACACATRGATAACCTAACAAGTAAATTTAACCTTATTATTAGTTAAAGTAACAAGCTAAAGGTTAGGTATCTAAGACCGTGGTAATAACTAACAAGTTTATAGTGCCCCTCTCGTGGCTTCGCTTACCAGTTCCGGTTACCCAAACTTCCTAAAATAGCCAACCTTTTATGGGCGATACCCAATAATGTTTTAATTTTAAATACGATTTTAGATAATATTATATTATTATGTTAATTAGATTATAATACACCATTAAAATGTCATTACGCCAAGTGCCAAAATTATCTTGATTGTCTCCAACGCGGGTAAGTAACAAAAACAACCTGGGCGTAAAAATAAGTAAAGTAGTAATAAGTAGTTCTGACGTAGTTATATAGGTACCGAAACTTTGAACTGAATCCTGAGTACACAATTAGTCTCCAAACTTGAGGTCCTCCGCGAGGCATTATAATTATAAAGCATTCGTATAAATGTAAAATCGCAAACTTTGGAAGGCTATAACTTCAAGAATAAGTAAGAACGACAAATTCCGATTGCAGTCCATGGACGCAACTAGGGGGGGGCATGGGAGTGCTTAGCACTCCCAAAATCAAAATTAGCACTTCCAAATTTTCTGTACCGATTTTTTACATTATCGGTGACAGTAACACTTCTGGTTTTAAAACAAGTGGATGGGGTTCTCGTATTGTGCTTTAGATTTTAGCACTCCCATAAATTGTACCCTAGTTGCGCCCATGGATTGCACCATTGTTCTAAACTCTTTGAGCTACATGAGTTTCGATAAAAAAAAAATCAAATTGGCGAGGGAGAATTAAACTGCATTTATACTAAACAATTCAGCACTGTGAGTCTGTGATTAACTAAATCTCTATAAATAAATATCACATTATATTGCAGATACCAGCATAGGCGTGCACCGGGTGCACACAAGACGAGTTGGTCATAGTTTTGCCTAGTGTCTAGGCATGCCCTGTGATTTTTCATGGCCGAAGCACCCTATGCCTCAATCATATTACCCATATGAGTTATAAATATATATCTAAATTACCAAATCAGAGGCGTGCCCAGGATCAAAATGTAGGATAGGCCCGTTTATAATTATTTTAGTTTATATAATAATATGTACACAGTAGTATACAATACACATTATTTTTTATTTTTTGAAACTTTATAGTATAAACTAACTAAATTTTACGACGTGGAAAATTGATAATCGGGTGAATAGGTTGTTATTTAAGCTAATAGGTATCAAGCACATTTAAGCTAGAAGAGGAAATAGAAGACTCGTTAGAAGTTGAGGTAAAATTTAATTTTAACATTTTCGTTTGTGGTTGATCTATTGTACTATCATCATCGTTTAATGTGCTGCTGGATATCGGAATAGGTTTAAAAAACTGGCTAATCATATTTTTATTTTTATTTAATTATTAGTCAAGTTATAACCAATAAAAAATAAAAAAAGTACTTAGGTTATTCTAATAGTGTACATAAACAAAAACAGACAAAACGATTTCCTCGATCAGCTCGGTTACACACAAGTCACTATAATACGTCTACAGTTCTACACAGTACACACTGTAATAAACTAATAAATTATTCATACCAAAAAATAACATAATATTTTATAAACCATATTATTCATTATCTTAACCAAATATCCTAACCAAATTCAGTTTTAGATAATATTTTAAAAGCTAGTTTGAAAAAAATTAAATGATCCGTGCCATGTGCACTCGGTAGTTTAATGTTGGGCGTAAATGCGGCATAGCACTGCTTCAAAACGTGTACACATGATTTATAACATAATAAATAAAAAAAAATTTAAAATAAATAAATTTAGATGTATAGTATTGTTACCACTGGGTATCCTAGCTACCTTATCATACGACTCTGTCATTAACTTTTATCTGTCACTTATTAAACTTACTCAATACTCATTGTACAAATTAATATGTATAGATTGTAATTTATTTCAATAAAATAAAAAAATAAATAAAAAGATGTGTTGTATTTATAAAATTGAAGACTAGAGAGCCGGTTACAATAATATATGGACACTGCCTGTTTTTAGAGTATGCGCACGTCTATGGGTTAGTGCAAATAGAATCCTATCCTATTCTAGGCAAATGTTTACGACTATATTGTATGTATGTGATTACTGGTTAATCGTTATGATGTGTATCCACTATCAAATAAAAATATTAAAGGAATACCAAAATTAATTATTGTTATTACCTACCATTATGTTTTATAAAACATTTTTTTATTTCAAAAATTCAAAATAAAACTAAATTTAGATAGGTATTTGAAAAAAATGCATCCTCAAGTTCAACATAAACCGCAAGTTGTAGTTGGTATTTTGCGATACAATAACAAAAATATCAAAATACAAAAACTACCCATTTAAATGTGAATTTATTTTATGACCGTATATATGTATACACTGAGCAAAGTGTTTATTGAGTTTATTCTATTTGTCGCTACAAATGATTAACATGTACTTATATTGTAAGTTTTAATTTTTATTTTAACATGACGTATTTATAAATCGAGCCACCTTGATCTATGTACTATGTCTTCCTAGAGACCACAACTCTGCATCATTCTACTGGACGTTACATAATATTATGTCATCGAGTGATACATAATAATATCGAGTGATACATAATAGTCATACATAATATTATGTCATCTAATCTATTCTGTGGTGTTAGTCCATGGTCGTCAATTTCTAAGATAATATATTATTATCAAATAAAAATATAAATTGGCGGGATATTACTCATGATACTATAACAATATTCATGAGTTCGTGACAAAATGTAAGAATAATGAATATGTATATTTTATTAACTTTTTATGTCTTATGATAATATTATTAATTACAATTTAAATCACCATAGTAAATAGTTTCTATACTTACTATATACCTAGTTGTAAATTAATTGTAATAAGCATATTTTAGTGTTATACGTTTACTATACGTTAATATTATCTAGGTACTAATATTTTACTATTCGAGTGGAGGAGTGAATTACAGAATTAATATCTTTGGAGTGAACTTACCCAGGTAATATCAAATTATAAAGTAAGAATCTCGTCGGTTTTTAATGTTTTAATTTTTATGCACAAATTTAATGTCTATAGTTCTTCTGGCACAGGCTACTGCCTAGAATATATTATAATATTATGTAATATTAACATAGTCACAACCACAGTTGTTAATATAATGCATCTATGATAATTACAATCCCAGGCCAGTAATTAACACTGTATAATCATGTGGATGTTATTTCATTTTTCATAAGACATTTAATTCAATAATTATTTATCACCAGTATACCTCAAGGAACTATCCTCTCCCCCTTACTCTTTAACATATATGTTTCTGATCAGCCCACATCTCCAAATACCTCAATTACCAACTATGCAGATGATAAAGTAATTTTTCGATTCATAACGACCCAGTTATGAGTTAAGCCTACTAATTTACAGTCTCATTTTAAAATCTACAATCTTAATGGTATAAAAAATGGTGTGTAAAAGTAAATCACASCAAATCGGTTCATGCAACTTTTACCCTAAGACACGGTCAAATGTTTCAATTAATAACATACCTATCCCAACCCTCAATGGTGTTAAATATTTAGGATTAAGTCTTGATCAAAAATTGACTTGAAACCAATACATAAAAGCTAAAATTGATCCTTAACGCTCAATCAAAATTGCTAAAAAAAACACTAATATCAAAAAATAAATTTACTTGCATATAAAACCAAAGTACTTGTATGCAAAACTCTTAAAACTTATATGGACAATGGCCAATTAGATTACAACTCTGGGGATCAGCTAAAAAATCAAATTTAATCAAAATTCAAGTTTTTCAACATATTACACTTGGAAAAGTTACTAATGCTCCAGTCTTTGCTCTAATTTAACTCTCTGCCAAGATCTAGATATTATACTTGTTATAGTTAAAGTGAAACTTGTTTACAAACTTTATTTTGACAGACTAGAAAATCGCCTAACCCACTAATAAAAGAGCTACATGCTTCTCGGTGTAGGTGAGTTGATTCCCGAGACCTATTTTATGTATTAGTCGATTCCCGGGTCATTATTAAGTATGTACGAGTTGATTCCCGGGTCATTAAGAGGGACGTACAAGTTGATTCCCTATTGTTGTATATTAATTATCAATAGATTGCACAATTAAAGAGTTTATAACCGAAAAGAGTT